AGTTCTGTTTCCCCTTTCTGCAATTACATTTGTTATCCTGTCCTCGTTCTGTAAATATTGTTTTTTTTTTCGCTTTTTTGCTGGCTATCCAAGCAATATATATCTCTACTTCAACTCTACCTTGTTCCTGCTTTAGGTTTTTTAGCAAACAAAAGACTCCAGGGTGATCCTTCCCTACAATTACCTGCCACCTCCTGTGCCACCCCTCAACCGTGTTTTGGGTCCTAGTAATCCCATGTAAATTATTGTCATGTACAGACCAAAACTCTGGTGGAAAAAGTGGTGGAACCCTCACCTCTCTTGTGTATAACAACCTCACTCGACCACAAATGTAGGTCTCATCAAACCACTTTACTAACTCAGCTGTGTTTGGTGGGAAAATGTTTTTTTAATTCATTAAATGCTGCCGGAATCTCTGCACTTGGAAGAAATGCCAGTGCTGCTATTTGCCGCATCAGCAGGCAGAACTGTGGATCCTGACCATAAAGAAGTGCCAAGCCCAACCCTTAATTGTAGCTTTCGACATATATTTTGGCTAAAATGAAAAAAAAAACACCCTTTACTTGGGAATTCAATGCAAGCATTGATTGCAGCTTTCTCAAAGTAAGTGACAATAAACCGTGGAGATAAGTTTATCTGCATTTTTTTCTGCGATATCTGCGAGGTCCTGAAATGCTTGTGTATACATAGCCTCGGTTTTTCGAGACATTAAAATGTAGACAAGCGGTAAAACTCTGCAGTTTTCGTAACCTACTGGGGCATGAATGGAGTAGATTTGTAGGAAAATATTAGGAGTAGTTTTGAAAGTACCATTCATGATCCAATACATAGCCTCGCCAAGCTTTTGGACGTTTGATTCAGTAGAAAATATTAGCAACTTGTCATTGATTATGGAGCTTTCCTTTAACAGAAACTGTGTCAACCTCAGGTCATCTGGAATAGCCACATCTTCTAATGTATGTGGCTCTACTGGATGGTTTTTATTTTGAGTCCTTTTAATTCGCGTTGTTAATGCCTGCTTTGATGGCATATCAACCCTTGTGCTCATGTCAGACGTTGAAACCTCTACCATTTGAGTTGGTAGCTCTTGGCTAATGGCAGCAATGGTCTTTAGCTGTGTCATTTTTTCACGAACGATGACTTCACTGGCTTATGGTGCATGGTTCAGAGGCGTAGCGACCCCTCTCGGCGCCCGGGGCGAAATTTCAGTTTGGCGCCCCCATATATATATATATATATATATATATATATATATATATATATATATATATATATATATATATATATATATATATATATATATATATATATATATATATATATATGTAATAGATTGACGATAGAAGCATGTGATTGTATATAAAACGTTTATTGGCCTCAACTCCACGATGGTAACGAGAGAGGGCGGAAGTGACGAGACACCAAAATATATATACATATAAGGGACATCACTCAAGATAACAGTATAAATATAATACTAATACAAGAAGAGTGAGTTCCCTTGACTTCACAATTCTCACTATATTACATATATATATATATATATATATATATATATATATATATATATATATATATATATATATATATATATATATATATATATGTTTTATCTTTGGAACAGTCTCTGTTATGATATGTTACCTAGTTGGATTACAACTTTGTTAGATTTAGGTAATACAATTGATATACAATAGCAAATTATCAGACACATTTATTGTACTCATTGGAATACGACATTGGTATTTCGTTGACTGGATGACTGTATAAAGAAACAAGCTAGAGGAAACAAATTGGAATCCAACGGACACACCAGCTGGAAGTCTTGGATTTTGCAGAAGTGCGCTTCTTTCTCGCACACAGTCAACACAAAATGCATAATAAAGTGCACTGGTCGAAGAAGCAGTAATAAACGTTTAATTATAGTGGCACCGCCTATGAAGTTCATATTAGAATTAACCGCGGTAAAATGTATATTAACATTCTAAGCGAATGTGGAATTGAAAAGCATTCAACCAGCATGTACAGCGAAATATGAAGTCTCTTTTACTGTATGGCACGGAGTTAGGCTACAGACAGTGGAGAATGAAAAGGCGGTGGTTTGGACACAATATGAGAAAGACAGAAAATAAACCCTCTAAACAGGTGCTTGTGTAAAGTCCATGGGAAAAGAGGAAGAGGAAAGGACCAAATAAGTCACGAAGAAAATCGTTTGAAATAGAGTAGGGGGAGGTCGGACTATTAAGGATCGATCTTTGATAAAAATCAAGTGAGTTGACGAAGTGTTGTCTACGCATATGCTCCTTAGGAAGACGAAACGAATAAAAAGAAGAAAATCAAAAGAGTTTAAAACAGTGGGTTCCATCGAACCCGAGAGATTCGGTAATTCAGTCTCCGGGTTTCCGCGGAGGTCAAGACTCAAACTGACTCATATGATTTACGATCTGATTTTGTCATTATGGACGATACATCTACTAAGAAGGGTTTGGTGAATGCGCGTATGAAACTGGTGGGGTTCGGTACCTTCAATTTTTGTTGGCTAAAAAGCGCCAACAACACCCCCTTCCCTTCGCACCATCTTGGACTAAGTTGTAGAACAGGGTTTATACGTCACTTACTCTTTTTTTAATGGTACACAATCGTACTATGCGATTTACTACATGTGGTTTCTTTTATAAGTGGTAAAGTTTATCAACTCATTAATCCAGTGTAAATTTTTCCAATTTTTGTCTTCGAAAAAGCGCCCCCCCCCCATAGGAAAATCTGGAAAGCAGTTTTTTCTGGTCACTGTTTCTTATGAGTTTGTTTTACAATTACACAATCAAGTTGGAAAACAGTTACATCAGCATGTAAAGGCTTGTGGCCGTTAACTTTCTAACTTTGACAGTTTATAATTCAAAACTGCTGCTTAAATGAGCTTTTAATTTTTATTTTTTACCCCTTTTGGCGCCCCCCCTCCCCCAAGGTCGGCGCCCGGGGCGGCCGCCCTCCCCCCCCCCTCCCCCCCCCCCCCCGTAGCTACGCCTCTGGCATGGTTGTGTGCACTACACTTTCTTAGTGTGCGGGAACCATTTAAGAAAATCGTGCTAGCTCAAGCTTTGCAGAGAGTATCTGCCTTTTCATGTGCAGCTAAATGTTGGCATAGGCTACATTCCCAGTAGAAGAGGTCTCCTCTTTGTTTTTTGGTAGGACAAATCCACCAACAACAAGCATTTGTCCCCATCCCTTGGTCCCCCGAGCTGTTTCAGTAAATAAATAGAGCCCTTGAAACAATCTACGCTTTTCTTTATAGTTATTTTATTAGTAGCGTATTATAATAGGCCTTTATTTAAAGAATATCATGTATTTTCTCCTTTTAAGTGCATTATTACATAAAAGCTTGTTATTAAAAAAAAATTAAGATACATTTTAGTACTTTAAAATTTTTCGAACAAAAAGTTGCATGACCAAAAATAATGCGCACTCATCAAATGAACACGAAAATAACGCGGTTAGTATTTTATATAGGAAAGTGTTTTTATTTTAATTAATTAAGCATACAATTAAGTCAAATTTAATATCAGATTGCATTATCATCAAGTCTTGACCCTCGTGCCAAGTTTCAGAGAAATTGGTCGGTTAGAAGTGGTTGAAATTTGGCTTGCCATTTTCGACCCATCACGAAGCACGTCAGGCAAAAGCACAACAAAGAAACAAGTTATATGAACGAGGAAGCAAGTTAAATAAAAGTGTGCAAAAAGCATCGCTCAATACTCTACTAACCTATACAGTTCACATTACTTTAAAAAAAATTAATCAAACAATTACTTGCAAGTTTACGAAGATTAGTTATTGTTATATATTTAACTGTCAAAGACCTTGGGTCAAAACTGTTTGCATATGTTTAACTGTCAAAGAACTTGGGTTCACATTTCTCTTACTTTGAGTTTTCAGTGATTTGTACTAAATAATCTCTTTAACTATTCAATTGTAGTGTTAAAAATAACTTTCCAATTAAATACCCATGTCCCTCGGAAAATGGGCACCAAACGCACTAATAAACGGCATTGTTATCTGTGTTTTGTTCACATCAGCCATGGATCAAATATTAATTATTTGTCATTATTTATTAATTTTCACTGCTATTTGAAAACAATTTAGTGTACATTCTAAAGGAATTTTTCTTAAATCTAAATGTATTATTTTCTTCATTTATTTTTGTGTGTAGTCAAAATGTTGACGCAGTCGCATTCCTTTAGTAGGTAAGATTGAGAGCAATCAATCATCAGTTGCTAAGATTTTCAGATCATAGACACTTTTCGACGAAAGGTAATAAGACCACAAGTTGTTTGAACAGAGCCAGGCAGTGTTTCTTCCAGACTTTTTTCTCCTGGGGGGGGGGGGGGGGACACTTGAAATTTTCAGGGGGGACACACACACACACACACTGTTAAAAGTGTATATATATTTTCTATATAAATTTCATTTCGTTCGGGGGCCGTAAACTTTCTTCGCCCCCCCCCCCCCCCCCCCCCCCCGAAGAGATGCCTGGAAGAAACTCTGCAGTCAGGGATTGTCCGCAGGCAGTTTGTCCACCGCGGGTGTTCATTACAGGTTATTTGCATCTCTAAACCTACACCTGCACATACACTTTCATTTATACCTACATTTTCTGCGTTATTTTCATATTTGCGCATTTTTCTGTGTGTACAAATTGCTGTGTGCACATTTCTATGTGTGCGCAATTTTCTGTTTGCGCATTTTTCCGTTGCGCATTTGTTAGAGCGCAGTTTTTCGTTGTGCATTTTTTTTCTGGTCACCTGTGGTGCCTAAAGGGGTGCCACCCGATTTATCGACGCCACTGCAAGCCCCTTTCCGACATGTCTCCCCTCTCCACTAGATCCACTCCGTTGAAAGAGTGTGTTATTTGTGTGCGACCCTTACATTTAAATTTAAAGGCCTGCATCTAATTTTTATTTGTTTCCCTGTCTAAATAAAATTAGACTTTTTATTTCCTTCTGCTACTTTTTAAAATTAGAATTTGCCAACATGGCTACAACATCAACAATGCTGATGTTGTTAGTCGTCTATTGGTGTATGTTTGTTAGCGTCAAAGCTTATATTGCCGGGCTGTACTGTGGTGAAGAAAACTGCTATGACGGTAGGCCCTAGATCTATGTAGTATGTAGATCTAGTATGCAGTAGATCTAAAACGATATGTAAATAATAGAATCTAGTATAAATAGTAAATAGTAAAGTTACAAAAGTAGATTTAAGTACTAAGTAAGTAGATTAGGTTAGGGCGGTTAGGGACTTGGAGAGAATTTTAGGTAATCTATCGTTTTGGGTACGTAAAATCGCCCGCGACTAGTAATGTGAAAAACAGGTGACTCCTTACATTTTAATAATTATTTCACATTTTGAGGAGGATTTATGTTTTAAAAATACAAAAATGTTTCCTTGTTTCATTTATGTACCTGTTTTTAAACAATTGAATTAAAACGTTTCAGTAATAAATGAAGACTAGCGATGTTTCCAACAGATGCAACCATGCTCATTTACTATAGCAGCCATCTTGTTAAAGTTTTATTTTTATAGACTTAACGCGCAAGATTCAGGCGGAAGTCACTCTATTTTACAAATGGCTGCTGTTTATATAGCAAACCTTGCTTGTAGACACTGCTGTTTAAAGTTAATTTCTGGCCTATATTGATATATTTAGCCATTGATTTAGGTTTATTATTCATTTATCTAGTTTTATTTGACACAAACATATCACAATATACTTCTATTACAGCCTTGACAATGAGGTAACGTTTTCGTACATTAATAACCGCGGGCGATTTTACGTACCCAAAACGATAGATTACCGAATTTTAATTAGAATCTATATAAAATAAAAAAATAATAATGTAATAGAGGAGTTTACACTTTTCGGACACACACCAAAAATTACGTAGGACCGAACACTTCGTCGGTTTTTGGCTCATAGAAACTTTAATTAGCATGTCTCACGCGAAACCACGGCGCCTGCACGTAAACTGTTCATTTAAGAACACTTCCGTGTCAAGTACTTCCGTTTCCTTTCTCAAGAATTATTTTTAGAAATTTTTTAACGTTGCATGGTACGCACATTTCTATTTTTACACCAGCCGGATGAAGTGACCTAGGGTTGGACTTAGGGGCAAAACTTGAACCAATCAATGCTTAGCTAAAAGGTTACACTATAAATAGCTTCTATATATGTATGGAACATCGTAAATGTCAAGGTTAATGGGTTTTTTCGTGCTTGAACAATAAAAAAGGGGTGTTCGCTAACTTTTTTGACCTTACATGGGATCGGACAGCAACACAAAAATATTATTAAATAAGAATTTAGAGCATAAAAGGGGCTGGTTATTGAAGGGAAAGGGTCAAAATAAGGTCAAGAAGGCAGTGGAATGCGAAAGAGGAGGGGGAATCATGTGACCTGGCTGGCTTAGCAGCGTACTGCGCGAGCCGCAATGGCTGAATGGGATGAACTTTGGGAGTGTGGGAAAAAGGTTTTATACTATTAAAATTACCTCACAAACAATCAATAACACAATATAAATGATTAAATGCATATAATATATGTTTTTATTCATTAAATTGACTTTAAATTATTCTAAATGAACAAAAAGTGCTATGTCCGATGACGGGTAAAGGTGTCCGAACACATGTAAAACTGTATTACATGTGTTCGAACACACGTTAAGACCCCCCAGTCACTATAACAAGAATAGCTTAAGTTCTATGCGTATGAATACAAAATGACACACACATTATTAAAGTAGAATGGTTGCGGATAGATATGATACTTTTTTTTGTTTTCTATGTTAAGCGGTTACTGAATGAGACCGCATCAAATTTTTACGTTGCGTTTTTTCGCTATGTGTGTCCGAAAAGTGTAAGCTCCTCTAGCAGCATCTGATAGACTCATAATTCAACTTGAAAAAATTTGCAGAAATCTATTTTTAGAGCTTACTCAAAATAACGAACAAATGAATCTAAATAGAAAAAAATGCGCACAAAGTCAACAAAAAATCAAAGTTTTATCAATATCAAATATAAACTATAATTCTGTAATTTAAAATGATTTTAAAGTCAGATTCGTGGATTTACAAATCAATTCAATTGAGAGCAATGGCGTCATTAAGATAACAACACAAGTACACTTCCAGTTTCAACCTCTGTCTTTCCCGGTAGTCGTAAAATGGCTTAAGCCTGTACTTTCAAAAATAATTATAAAAAATACTTTGCTATCGATTAACATTATGAAAATTTACACACATAAAGAAAAATGGTGATAATGGTTGGAGGGCTTTTTATTGGCCTACATTGTTAGTAAGTTTTTATGGTACAAAGAGTTTTACTTAGCAAAAGTTTGGCTCCAAATATCCATTTTCACCTTCAACAAAATCTCAAAACAAAAATACCGTAACATTTGTTTTTTAGAATCAGTCATCAAATTATTAGTAGCATCGGCGATTTATAATAAAAAATTTTTTCCGATCTTCACCCGCGACCGCACGGCTAAATTGACGAAAGTCTGTATGGGCAGAAAACTCTCATTTTTAGTGCCTCAAAATCTACGTCATCCAAGTCCCTAACGTAAACCTAACATTTTTAGTCATTTTTTGCATTTTTTAGACGCATTTGCGCGGAACGCGTCGGTCGGCTAAATCCAGTGCTCGAACGCGATCTAAAAATAAATAAATATTAGAACTGCCCGAATTTTTTTTAAACACCAAAGGTTGGCGCAGGTTACAAAAAAAGAATTAATCTTGTCATTGGAAACATAAATAAATCTATCGTTTTAGATTTAGGTACGAAAAATCGCCCGCGACTAGTAATGTGAAAAACAGGTAACTCCTTAAATTTTAATAATTATTTCACATTTTGAGGAGGATTTATGTTTTGAAAAAAATGTTTCCTTGTTTCATTTATGTTGATTATGTACCTGTTTTTAAACAGCTGAGTTAAAACTTTTCAGTAATAAATGAAGACTAGCGATGCTTCCAACAGATGCAACCATGCTCATTTACTATAGCAGCCATCTTGTTTATTTTTTTTTATTGTAAACTAATAGCGTAAGATTCAGGGGAAGCCACTCTAACTTACAGATGGCCGCTTTTTATATAGCAAATCCTGCTCGCAAACACTGCTGTTTAAAGTTAATTTCTTGCTTATATTGATATATTTAGCCATTGATTTAGGTTTATTATTCATTTATCTAGGGCCTATATTATTTGACACAAATATATCACAATATACAATTATAGCCTTGACAATGAGGTAACTTTTTCGTACATTACTAGCCACGGGCGATTTTACATACCTAAAACGATAGATTACCAAATAAAAAGGCCTCTGGGGCTATTCCCAACCGACTGTGACACTGAATAGCCTCAATGCGGCTATTCAGTCATTTCATGCTAAATACAACTGGGAATAATATCTTATAATAATAAAAGCATTTATTGTGACTGGGGAGTGAGGTATAGATCTAGATTAAGAGAGCAGTAGGCCCTACTATTTTTATCGTGTTATTTTTTTTATAAAAAAGCTATTACGGTTAGGCCTAAAGTTTAGTTTAGCTTTTAGGCTCATATCAGACATATCTCCTACAGGATACGTACGTAGGTCATAGATGATCAATTATGCACTCTAAATCTATAGGCCTACTAGACTTATAGATCTAGTAGTTTTTAAATAAATAATACTAATTAGGCCTAAGCATCAGTTTGGTTCAGTAGCGTAGCGAGGGGGGGGGGGAGGGACATATGTCCCCGGGCGCCGACCTTAGGGGGCGCCAAAATGGGTTGGAAAAATAAATTGAAAGTTTGAGGGGGTGCAAATCGAAAGTTTGAGGGGGGGTGCAAATCAAAATCTCGAGGGGGGGGTGCAAATCGAAAAGTTTGTCCCCGGGCGCCGGGAAGGGTCGCTACGCCTCTGGTTTGGTTGGTTGTTCACATTGCTATTCAACTATCAATTACCATTAAAAATTCACATAGAATAAATATCAAGTGAAATAGGATGTCCTTTTCCATCAGCTATCATTCACAGTTTCCATCACACTTTTGTGTTTTTTCTCTTAGCAAAAATCTAAAGGACAGGTCTTTTTTTTTCCTGACCTGCCAACAATTACGTCACAAACCAAAAAAAAATTAACAAAAGTAACCCTTCCATTTCCATGAATAACTGTGAAAAAATATATTGAAAATAAGAGACATACATCGAGAGTCATAGCAATAAGGCATCTGATGGGTTTTAACCCGCACCTTCTGGCACAACAGCCACTACCCATGTCCGCTCGACCACACATCTTCATGCGTTTTAGGGTATTTTTAACATTAATTCTAGCAAAAACGATCACGACTGTGAATAGACACTTTGAAAAAAAAGGGGTTAAAAGACAGTAGGCCTACTTGTCTACTCTACTGTCAGTAAAATAAGTAAAGTAAAGTAATAGTCAGCATGTAAATCTAGATCTACTATCTAGTATCTACTTTGTTATGTACTTCTAGATCTATGTATGTGCGACAGTGACAATGTATAGGCCTACTATTCAATTAATAATATTATCATATTAACAATAGCATACAACAAAACAAAAAATTAAACAAGTTTAAAGCCCTTATAAATAGCCAAAATGTGCTAGCTTTACTTTAAAATCAACTTTGTAGCTGATGAAGGTGTTGTATTTGTGATGGTTCTAGAATTTATTGACTAATGACTTCATAATTCGAACTTTAATGTGGCTTTTAAAAATCTGGACTTTGTAGTATAGTATAGTAGTCATTACTGATAATGATATGCTAATAGATAATCAATTTTCCACATTAATTTATTTCAGTTCTTGATGTCAACAGAGATGCTACGAAGGTTAGAATACTTTATTGTGTATTTAATATATCTATAGCATATATTCTGTTCTGTAAAAAGTATTCTCTTAAAATTTTCCATCATAAAAGCATGTTTTAAACTACCCAACACAACATTTCAAAAACACCTGACACAACTTAATACAGTTCGATGTAAACCCACACTAATGAACAGAAAAAGAGTTGAATAAAAATGAATGCATAGTCTTTAATAATAATACTAGCGTCCCCATCCCCAGCATTTTGCTGCGGTCTCAGAAGGCTGATACTATATTTCAAGCGGATTTCATTAATGTGTTACCAATACTGTATTTTTAAACACATGACCTTGTTTTCTACAACTGAGTTTTTTTCAATGGAAATAAAACAGATGTTATATTTCTTGGAACATAGTTGTATGCGCACGGGTTTGCTCACACTACTACCCTTGAATGTAGTGTATGTTAATCACTCTGTGCAATTGAGGTGACTGCCCAGGTGTCAGGAACATATTAGGGCACTCAATGGAGCACAGGGGCGCAGCGTACATCCCTTGGCTTGGTTTAATTATTGAGTGCCCTATGCCACCATGTCTATATTGTAGGGTGCTCTTTAAAATGAATGTATGCACCATAGTGCTCACAGGAAAGCCCAGGGCTGCAAATAGCACCCTGCCGGGGCGCCGGCGGTCACTCCTAATTCAATTTAGTCATGTCTATAATACCCCATATTATCCATAGTCTATGGCACTGTTTAAAATGAATGTAGGCGTCATAGTGCTGACAGAATAGCCTGGGTCACCATATTGCACACTACCAAGGCACCAGCGAACACCTGATTCAATTTAGTGAGCGGTTGTAGTAGCTCATCATATGCATAGTATTGCACTCTTTAAAGGGAACGTAGGCTCCATAGTGCTCACGACTAGGGCGGAATTACCATACTGCCAGACTGGGGGAGAGAGTGTGTGTGTGTGTGCCCCTGGTGAGATCATTGTTTCAAGTAGAACAGAACTCCTGACACCCAGTTCTGGACATCCAATCAATTGATCCCAGGTGGTAAGATAACCATGGATAACTCGGGACACCTAACTGTACACTACTGCCAGGACCATGGTAGTAATGTATAAATAAAAAAACACATACATTTCTTTATTTATATATAATCTGTATATAATCTAATGATGTAATAACATGTGCATGTTGTATCAGAAATTAAAAACATCCATATTATTGAAGGTCACTTGACCTATTTAAACTGCAGTGTTGGTAGGCCTATAAATGTTAGCTGAATACAGTTTGTACTCTCATTTTCAAATTATTTACTTAAATTAGTTATGTCTCGTAAATTCTAAAACATTAATCAGATTATAACAATGATTGCTTAGGGCATGCTGCATACATTCCTCCAGTGATAGGTGCCATTAAGTTTGTTCAATCAGCTTTTCCTAGGTACCAAATTTAAAATGTTCGGCTAATCAATACTCCAATTATTTGAATGGTAACAATGTTAGCACTTCTTTACTTAAATTCTAGTTGTTGGGAACTCTGTCACTAGTTCAAAAATGTCTCCTCACAATTTTTACTTCTTTCTTTTTTAATAAAGACTTACTTTTTCAATTAGATTGAGATTACAAAAGCTTACCGAAAGCTGGCAAAGAAATGGCATCCAGATATGCACAGAACAGAGGTAAAATATTATTTTGTTTTAAATTTTCATAAACCTCTTCTCAAGGAAGAAGCATTTAACTTTGAAATTAAGATATTTTAAAGTGTTGCAAAATAATAATAAAAAAGTCAATGTCATTTTCTTTACAATAGAGATAATCATGGAATGATTGATCCAATTTTTTATGTTGCTTCAGTCAGACAAAGAGGCAGCTTCTGTTATGTTTCTGAAGATTGCAAATGCTTATGAGGTAAGGTGCTGACTTTTTCTGATCATATAATATAGCAGGATTTTCCAAACTTTTTGTCACCTTAAATAAAAAATTCTTGGCTCCCCTTAACCCTTCAACTAACATAGCCCTAAGATTCATGGTAACATGATTTGAAAAAACTGAGATGGGTATGATTTTCTATTACATTGCAGCAGCATTAACCAGCAAATCCCTGTCACCAAAATATAGTGTAAAATTTTATAGCAGGCTGAATTAGTCCCAGTGTGCTGTTTAGAGACACAGGGCTATCAAATGTGTATATCCCAATGTCCATATAGCAGAAATGGCTGAAGACACTGAGCTGAAAACCATGTCCTACCAGAACAATTACACCACCCTTCCCTGGTGAATAGTTGTCCTTGAGGCCTTATCTCTCAGTGTGAGCTGCTATTTAATTACCCTTACACTATTTCAAACTGTATAGAAATAAGATATTCCTTGCATAAAATTGTAATATTCCATGCATATGTTTTTCATGCTAAAGCTGCTTTTTAAAACATGCAATGAGATCAGATAGCTTTGTATTTAATGAAAGTTGGATTACTTGCTTGGTATGCAAAAAAAATTATGGGCATAGCAGTGTATTAAAAATAATTAGGGAAAATTTTTTTCATGCTTCCACATTCCAGTTGGGAAACTGACGATTTATGTTTTAAGTAATTACAAATACAATCAATAAAGTAATTTAATTTATTGCTATTTTATTTACCTAAAGTATGTAGATATATATTTTTTTTCTGACACTTCACAAAATTTAGTTACATTGAAGATCATTTCCTCAAATTTTTTAAAATGTTTTTTTTTTAAGCTTTTAATTAATGTAATTATGGTATTTTATAGACACATTTCTTTCTACATTTAGATCCTTAGAGATGAAGAACAGAGAACAGATTATGACTATATGTTGGATAATCCAGGTATAGTTATTAGCATGCTCCATCGCCATTCTCACACAGCTTCAATGTAGCCTCTAGTTACACTGGTATGTTATTAGCCAAATAAAAAACATTTGCTCCACATTTTGCAGATGAATATTACTCTCACTACTACCGGTACTACAGGAGGCGTGTGGCACCTAAGGTTGATGTTAGGATTGTTATTGCTGTCACCATTACAGTTATATCAATCATACAGGTAAATTTGCTACATGATGTTTTCTTTGGTCTGTGTAGAGCAAGGATGTGCTACTAAGTTTTAGGGCATGGGGCCAGGTGGAATTCTGTGAAAAATTAAAATGATTATTGTTTGAACCTCAACATAAAGTTCAAAATTTAAAACCAAATTTTATCAATATACAAGGCAAATTAATTCCAAATTGACTTAAATTCATGTACTTCTGTTTTTAATTGTTTCACACAGAAAAGGTGAGTATCAATGCCGAAAGTTGACCGTTACACTTTAAATGTGCATAGTCATACTAATGACTAACTGTGAGTTTCTCTTGTATGTCGTTAAACCTATCAGTAAGATTTCATAAAAAAACGAATCTAAATATTTATTTCAGTATTATGGAGCCTGGAATAATTACACAACAGCATTAAATTACCTATGTAAAGACCAAAAGTATCGAATAAGAGCTGTGGAAATAGCTAAGAGTGAAGGCTTGCTAAATAATTCAAAGAAGAAAAACAAACGAAGTAAGGTACTGAATTATTTTTTATGTATATTATAAATAATGTAGAGTTAAGTAGAAGTCAAAATGGTTTAGTCAAAAAAATTTAAAGGGTTTAGAGTAACTGTGGTCAAACCTTGTAACTTCAATTTTGATGCGTTTCTTATGTATTATTTCATTCATCTCAGTATCTTAGTGCAACTTTAATTGAAGTGCAAGAATATATCTTATTAAATTTATGTAGATATCTAGACAGTTAAACTTTATAGATTCTTGTATTCAGTTTCATAAGGTGAAATAACAATGCTCTGTCAGTTGAGCTGGTGTTATAAAATGTTCTTTACAAATCTTCAAGCCAAGGTGGTAGCTGATAATGGGCAGATAATAATAATTACTCAGAGTTTAATATATTACAAGCTGCTTATTGGGCTGAAAGCAAATAGTTTTAGCTGGGAGTGGTGTCAACTCAATTATAATAGGGTTGGAATGGAATGAAAACATACTGTGCTGATTGCTTTTAATACAATTTATTATATTAAAATTATTTCTAGATACTCATGTAGAAAATAAAGCAAGTTTAAACCTTTAAGGGCATGGGCGGGTGATGAGTACCAACTTCCTTATTTCCGAGTTTAAATATGTAATACTTGGCTAATAGTTATAACTCAAAGAGTTAAGAATAAAAATATTTTTTAAAATTTTTAAAATCTTCCGTTGCCATGGTGACGGCGGCCATATTGGATTTTATTGACGATTTTTAAATGGAAATAACTCAAAAATGGTTTGTACAAATTTCATGAAAATTTAATATAGTCTGCAGACACATGTGTTTAAAACTTCTGATAGATTACATTTTCAAAAAAGAAAATAGTTTTTTTTTTTACTTTTTTTTTTCAAACATCACTGTAAAAATTTCATTATTTCGTCCAATTTTTTTCACTATTTCAACAACAAAATTTTTTTTTTTACAAAAATTCCAAAAGTGTTCTATCAGTTTTATTTGAACATATATAAAGAATAACTGGAGCAAATTTAGTTCAGTTCTGATAATTATTAACAAAGTTATTTCAACAATTGTACAGAAAAACATCAAACTGAGAAAAACGCAAAAAACTAACAAAAAGTTGCAAAAAATGAAAATTTATCGCTGTATGTCACTAAAATCGACCACATTTATAGCCTGGAGTATGGTGCTGCTGAATATATTCCTTCTGAGCTTGTTCAGCTGTTAGTTTTCTTTTTTTCTGGCGCTGTTTGTTTTACCTAGAGCTGTAGTAAAGCTGTTGTTATGGCGTCTTTTTTGGCGTCCTTCACTGGATCTTCGACTATGGTTTCCTTCTTTTGACAGCAATGCCATAGCATGCCTGGGCCCAAAATTGAATTATGCTATCGCAGAAACAGCAGTATATTTTGCATGGTCTCATGCCTAAAGCCAATTATGATAAGACGATGTCTTTGTTTATTGTGAAAGGCCTTGTTCTGGATTCTTTTGCAGTTGTATACTTACGGTTTACAACATTTTTATTACTGCCACACCATGCTTGAAGCAAACCCATTACACTTTTTTTCATCAATAGTAGCCACTACATCACAGTGGGCGAGGAAATATATTGATAACATCAAGAAACAAATCACATTCGACAATAATTCTGCATGGCTGTGGTTTACAATTAGCACTACCAGTACTAGATGTAACAGTGCTTTGTTCTGTCTGTAAAAACTGTGTCTTACATTGCCGCAGTTTCTTAGTAAATGTGCATATTACATCTGCACCAGTGCTTGTCTGAATAGTGCTAGATTGAGTAGAGGTAGCTGCAATCAGTTGCATTCGGACGTGCCCTAGCTTTAGTTTTAGTAAATTAGTTAGATGTGTGTATCTATTTTTAGCGAGTGTTTTGTTCTACCCATTATCGAAAGAGAAACAAATTAAATCGTCTCTCTGCTTATGATAATTCACACAAACTAGTCTAAACTGTTAATAGTATATTTAATTGAAATAATTATATGTTAAAATAATGTAAATATTTCACAGAAGCTTAGAGAAACAAAACTAGATCAAACTTAGCAACGCGCTGAAACTAAGGGAATGTTTACTTCCGAAGCGAAACGACCAATCGCTAACTAGCTTCCGCAGTTGTATGCCAATGAAAAAATTGAGGTCAAAAATTTGCATACCGGAAAAACCCGACTGAGTAAAATAAACAACTTCATGACGTAGAAAAATAATCACATTAAAATAGGTATTTTGATTGGTCATTTAATTTTAGAACAAATAAAGAAAGGAGGTCACGGCCTTTCCATTGATATGAAACACATTAGGTTTCCGCGAAGCCTAATAGTACTTTTCTAGGTCGAAAAATGGCTATTTATACCAAGAAATTAAACAAAAGACCCTGTACACACTACATTGAACCCGGTTTTTCATAAATAAATACTGTTTTTAGGGTCATAACAATGTCATTTTTAGATTCAACGATGGTTATTCTGTATAGATCAAGTAAAAATGGGAAATCGATGATTTAGTGGATTTATGACGAAAAGTACACCCGCCCATGTCCTTAAATAAGTGCTATAACAACTGACTTTTCTGATTCTTTACAAAATAATTTGTATTTTATGTTTTAAATTTGCTCTATAGGAGGAGATAAAAGAAGAAGAGGAAATGACTATAAGAAAAATTATTGAAGAAAAGATGGATATTCGGTATAATTAAGCAATTTTTCAATTATTTTTTTCCATTTTTATTTTAATGTATCGCTAAATAGTTCTTTGGGGGAAGAAATCATTATCATACAGCGGTAAACTTAATTTTTTAGAGGTGGCTACAGCAAGCCCAAAGTGACTGATGTACTGTGGATCCAGCTGTTCTTATTACCATATCATATAGCCATGTATATTGCATGGTGGTTACGATGGATCTGGAAATTCAACATTAAAGGCGACGAATTAGGGAAAGATGAACAGCTCTATCTTATCCGAAAGCATTTAGGCTTTAGTCAAACACAGTTTGATGTAAGTACTTAGTTTACAAAATTGATTAAATAAAATGTATTTGTACTCTCATTAAAATTTGTAGTATCTTTTCTATAATGAAACTATTAGCAAATGATGTTTTTCTCTGTTAATAGGGTGTGGAAGACCGTGATATAGAAGATTACTTACGACAACAACTTTGGATAAAAGAAAATTTTGTGGTTAGCAAAATTTGTTTTCCAATTGTAATATATTTTTTAAAATTTCTTTTTTCTGGTTTAGTTTTTTAAAAATTGTTGTTTTTCAGAAATGGAAGGAACTAAAAGAAGAAGAAATGAAAACTAAATTAGCAGAAAGTGCCAGATACAAAATGTACAGAAGATATATGAAAAAGGGTGGTGCTGGACAGATGACCTTTGGCCCAGAATAGGATTATGAGTGCTTGACTTGTCAGCAGACAGAAGCATGTTTTAAATAGTCTTATCAAATTCTTTATCCATTTGACTTTGCTCTAAAACAATGTTCGAATCTTAAAGCAATTAAGTACAGCTGTGTTAGTGTGATAACCAAATGATCAGGAAATTAAGTTCTAAACTTTATTTAATAAAAAAATAATTTTCATAACAAAAGTAAGGGAAATATGCTTTTTTAAATAGATTTTTTTACAAAACACTATTTTTATTGCCTTGGTTGTCATAGTTCTGTCATTAGTATTAGTAATTATTTTAATAGCGTTTCTCTTTATTTTCAGTTGAGCTGTCTTGATGTGCAGTTTTTTTAATTATGCAAAAATCATATTAAAAAGGGAATTCTAAATTCTAATAGATTGGAAGAACATAATTATATAACCATTTAGAAGTTCAAATGATTTCACTGTATTATTGCCTTAGCTATCAGAATTTTTCATTCATAATGAATGTATTTTATAATAAATATTAGCAAAGTTGCAAATCTTTTAAAAATGTATCTGAAACAGAGTATTAAATGTTGCAATTACAAAATATGTTGGTAATTTATGGGTATCCTAAACTCTATTATCTTTTATTTTGCATGCAGGATGGCTGGTGACAGTGTTGTAGCAGGATGTTGGTCATGGGGTAGGGGGGGTGTAGGTCATGTCTCTGCTGTTTTTTTTTTTGCAATTAAAAATTTAATATACAACACAAGTTACAATAAAACTTTTGTTATAGTTCTTTATCAACCATAGATTTTATTAAAATCGTCTAAGAGTTTTGGCAATATTTAAGCAGATATTATGTGTTATAATTATCTTTAACCCTTTGAGCCCTGGCCTCCCTGACCTAATTTCTCCCTTTACCTGAGCTCCCAGGGCCAAACCAATTTTCACTTATCTGCTTCTAACTTTGCCTATAACTTTTGAACCGTTTGAGATAATCAAGCCAAATTTGGCATCCAGACTCAGGATCAAACAACAATGCATCAAGATTCTGAAATTCTTTATTTTTTAAAAATATATGAACAGAACAATTTCAATAAAATGAACACATTATTGTTTTGATAGAACAGAAGAAACCAATTTAGTAATTGTTTTGTTATTATTGATACCTAGCCATACCAACCTGGAGTCAGCTGATATAGAATCTGGAATATTTTTTACACCAACATTTTCAACTGGTTTGAATGTTGAATCTGTAGCCGAAAAATTATTATCAACACGCCAAAGAGACTGAAGTTTTACAGCACCACATACATCAGAACATACTTTTCATTTGTCACTGCCAATTTCAATGTCACTGTTCAGTCTCAAATTCAATGTCACTATCATTACAATATAGACCAGGAATATTATCTTCTTCATCAGAATCAAAAAGTAGTTGTATTGCCTGAGATGCAGTCATTCTACTTTTGTTGATATTTCGGTCTTTTGCTTCATCTTTTGCACCAACTTTATGTGCTGAAGTTGATGGCTGTGGCTCAGCTTTTCGTTTTGGTGGCATTGCTACGAAATGTAAACACTTTCACTTTTCCTAAAATCTATTTTTAGAATCATAATCCAGCAATAAAAAGACATGCGCAGTTTTAGTCAGTCTTCCACTAATTATATTTAATTAGACGGTATACCGGCCGCTAGGAATATGACGCTAGATCATCGGGCCGGAAAACCGGCTATTTGGACATATATGCCTAATATTGAAGCCGGTTTACCGGCCTGGCAGGCTCAAAGGGTTAAATTACATTGGCTTGAAAAGTTGGTTCCAAATGGTTGTGTTGCCAGAAAGCATATTTTTCAACTAAAATTGAATAATTTGTGAAATAAGTGCAAAATGACTTCCAGTTTAATTAAGGCTTGAAATATTTAACTAGCAACATACTGCTGTTGTGGTGATAGGGAATTTATATTTAATATAAATTAACAACTAGGCTATACTATATAGACTGCTAATGTGCATTTTATCATGGAAAACAATTGCTGTGACTATTTTACTCACCCTGTGAGTTTTTTTTAAAATTTCAATTGATAAAATAATTCAAATGGCTTTTCAATATGAAAATGAGTGTAATTGATGGTTCTCAAACAGCCTTTTACAACTATATAATGTTATCGCTTGTCATATTTTTAAAAAGATTTTTTTTTAAAATTTAGTACGATTACAATTTGATAGAGGGCAAGAACTTTATACTGGATGATGACTGATGGTCTTAAAAAACAAAAAATGTGTATTATCATCGCCTTGTCAAATGAGTAAACCTGTTTGTGAAATAGTTGTTTTATAAAGGCGCCTATTTAATAAAACTTTCTCTAAACAACAAAACTCTACTTTTTAATGAGTATATCATATTGCAAACTTTGGATACTTAAACTTGTTTGTCATGGATTACTCTAGGTAACTGAATTAATTCAAGCAAATTTAAACACATGATCAACCAATAAAAATAAAACTTATTTGTACCTGATAAATTTACTATTTTAAAATTATTTCATTTATTTGCTTTTAAAGATACAAAGGGTAATTAATCCCATGGTGGGTATGGTCGAGTCGGTAAAGCTCATGGTTGCTAAACCGAAAAGTCTTGAAGTTCGAACCCTCTGGAAAATGAGGCTTGTTAGCTGGTGACAGCCACTCTTCTAGGAGAGAAAACTCCAAAATCAAACAACTGCTGCCTTGTACTTTGTTATTGGTTGGACAAAGGCTATGGAAGCAAATCCAAAAAGCAAAGCAGGCTGAAATCGAAGTCAGTGGCTTCAATGGCGCATAACCAGTTGACACTCTTGCTTAATTGTGTTGGAGGGGATACCTTCCAACACTAAAATTAAAAATGAAGAAAGAATCCCATGTTATAAGATTATTGTTCATTATTTTACCTTTTCTTTGTAACACTGGAAAAATTTTTAAAACTGATTCTATTGAGTAACAGAGGCTCTTTAAAAACTAATCACAAAAATACAGTAAATTTACTATTGTATTTGCATGTATCAATATTTAAGCTCAAAGTTAGTTGCATGCTAAAGATTCATTTGTAATTGTCATACTTTTTAAAAACAAGGCAATAGCAAAACTTATATTAAAGTAAGTTTTTCAGTTAAGGTATTTTATTGATTTGCTTTATGGATTAACAAACAGAGCATTCTAGAAAAATAAATTGTTGAAAAATAAATAATTTACAAATCCAACATTACAACACAAAATGTTTCAATTTAATAATCCAGCTGTCTACTTTAATTTTTGAACAACAACGGCGTTGAGTAAATTGGCTTGTTCCAAAGTTTGACTCTCATCTACAAGTTCCTTATTGGGAAATGTTGTCATCAAACTAAAACTTCTTTCAGCATATTGTGGGTATAATCTAGATTACATTAAGGAAAACGTGACTTACTTTAGTTTATTTTAAGTGATAGATTAAAAAAATGTAATAGAGCTTGATATTATATATGAAATTTAGACTAACCAATTTCTTGTACAGCAACATATTCCCTGTATTCAAGAAAGAAATTTTTTAAAAAGGATACTGTATAATATGATGCCTGATATCACTGATTGTGTTAGAATGATTCAACTTGACAACCATTCTGAAAAATTGAAAGATTTGAAAACTGTAAATACTAGAGTATACTCATCTTAAAAACATCAAATTATATCTGTAAGAAAGCCATGAAATTGTATCATGATCATTAAACACACCTTTGACCATCAGCCAATCTTAACTGTATGTTTGTAACTGGCTTATCAGCATCAATCTCAACAGTAGGAGGTAATCTATCCCCAGCTTGAGGTGTTGATCGAATCACTGTTGGGGTGGGGCTGAAAGAGTTTGGTTCATCACTGGTCACGAAATTTCACGGCAACATGAAAGGAAGGATGCAATTAATGAGGGAATAGAAAATTAAATTAAATTAAATTAAATGAGAGAAAATTTTATTCTTCTTTGATTCACTGAATAGTGAAATAATAAACAATACCTAAAAACTTGAAAAAATTCAAATTTAGTCAATCTATTTTTACTTTCTCGTATACAGTATAGAGAAAGTATTGTAATCGTGCATAAAAATCGCATGAAATTTTGACAGTTTTGAAGTAGGCCTACTTCATCACATACAAAGTATAGGGGACTTATTTTAATCTGGCAAAAATTCTAAATCCAGATTTATTAAAATGTCGGTGTTCTAAGCGTAATTGAGTCTAAATAACTGGACTTTGCAATTTCTGTCCGTATGTCTGTGTGTGTGTGTGTATGTGAACATGATAACTTGAGTACCGTTACGGCTAGGTTGATGAAATTTCATATTTAAATACTATATCAAATTTGTAGTTCTGTATCAACTTTTCAGCGATTTCCAGTAACTGGAAGTGGAACTTTTCTACTTTTGGTTTTTCAAAAGCCTACAACTTTGCAGATAGATAAACGAAATTTCACGTACAAGTAAAAGATCTAATTCTCTGCCTTCCTTCAAATTGTGAGTTATTTCCGTTGACCAGAAGTTATTACTTAACGCTATTTCCGATTTCTCAAAAAAAAAAAAAGCAAAAAGACATATATATATATATAAGAATATTCGAGAAAGTTTAGGGAGATCACTCCTGGTTTATTATGAATGTTAACCCATTTATGCAGAGCATGCAATTAAGAAATATATCTATTTAAAAAAACAGGTATTTTAGAAGGTAGTACTAGTATTTATAGTGGTCAATGATAGAGGAAATAAACACCAGTGGAGGGTACATAACACCAAACTGGCTACCGTAACAAAAATTAAATGTCCTGCATAAATGCATTAATAATTTTGACTCAGGGATGTCTCACAGACTCAAGCCCGAGATTCAAACTCAAGATTTTTGTTTTAGCAATTGTTAACTATACCATTTAACTAAGCCATCACATAAAATAGCAAAATGTTAAAGACCTTGGTAGACAAATATACATAAAATAGTCATTGTAAAAACAGAACAACCTATTTTGGTATAAAAAGAATGTGGAAGACATGTTAGAAAAATTTTTGCAAGAAGCTTCCACATATTTTTCAAGAACTAGTTTGGAGTCTGAAAACTCCTAATTTTATTCTGTAAAAAATTTCTTTCAGACAGAAAAATTAGATTTCCACCTAAAAAGTTACATTTCTGTCATCAAAATGAAAGAGGAAACCAGGAAAGCAAAGTCATCATGTTATAAGAAAAGTAAAGATCAATACCTGCCAAGCATATGACCAGCACCAGAAAATGCTTTCACTGAATGTTTTGGTTTGACATATTCTTCTGCTCTATGATCTTCCATATCCAGATTGACCTCTCCACCTTTTGCTTCTCTTATCAGATCATGTGGAACTTCTCTATAAAATGTGTAGAAAATACTTGATAGAATTTATGAAATGCGTTTTACCATATATTAGTTATATTATATTAGTATGGCTTTTTAAAATACACAGGCTTTTTGTAGCAAAAGACCTGTGGTGAATACAAAATGAAACCTTGGTTTTTAATCCAGTTTATAAATGAAAGTTTCAATTGGATTAACCCTTTATCTACTGACGGTACTTATAAGTACCACTTTAATTAAGTGCCTGTATTATTTTTAATTTAATACGAATTTTAAAAATTATTGAGGTAATTAATAGTATTATCTCCCCTGAGTCGCCGGTAGTCGGAGGTATCAATGTTTTTTTTAAATTAATGGTGTGGCGCCATTTTCAATGTCTTGCTATGTCGGTAGTTCACAATTGTTCTGTACAGTTCTCACACACGTTCCTGAATTCCCTTTGTTTTACCTTATTTTTCAAGTTTTCAACCCCAAATATTTTTTATTGGCACCTTCAATAGTCAGGCAAACGCGTTTAACTTCTAGTTATACAATTTTGATCAAACTGTCTTTGTATTAGATCGATGTTTACAAGTGGACTTATAAGTACCGTCAGGGCACACGGACATTTTTTTAGGATTTTTAGAAAATGGCAGATTTGTTAGGAGGAGTTACATAAATATTGTCTTGATAATAAATTATCGAAATATACTCAAAAAATGATATTTACACATTTATAAGAAGGTTTGCATAAGGTTTACCTAAGAAATATTGTAATTTCATGTTAATTTCTAGTAGTAAAAAATAACAAGAATAAAGGTATCAGTTGCAGGCTCGTTTACAAGGTTTAGTTTACTGCATTTGTATACCAAAGCCTAGTTCTAGTAGTAAGATTTAATTTGTTAGTTATATTTACTGCAATAAACTGTCTTGCCAACAATAACTAGCATTTACGTAATGTATACCTGTAGACTAGTAATAGTCCATACTTCTGCATATAATATAGATCTATAAGGTAAATTTTAATCAGTAAACAGAAAAGAGTAATCCACTACGGCTATCCTAAACACATTGAGCTCACTTCTATTTATGAACTTTGCACTGTAGTGTAGACTTGTCATAACATTCTAGTAGGCTACAATTATACTAGTATTACTAGTAGTTGTGTGCTGAATGACTAGGCTTTTGTTTGTTTATGCGGCTCATTGTACTAGTTATTGGAAGCTTCCAGAAAAAGCATATTCATTCCGGCAACCATTGCTACACCAGAAAGACCACAGACAAGATTGAGGGAGCATGACATGTCGACTACTTTTGCTGTGTATGAGGTCTAAGATTTGTTCCCATAGAAAATCCAGTAAAAATCGTACTCAAAATACACTTTTGTGCTGTATTTATGTGTGAAAATTACAAAATGTGATTGTTATGATGATTGCCATGTTATTAGTTAATAAATTGTATCGTTTGTTCCTGTTTTGTAAAAAAAAAAAATTTGAAAAAAAAATGTCCTAGATTACTGACGGTACTTATAAGTACCAATATCTGTTTGGGCCATTAAAAATTTATGAAACGAAATTTCCTTCGACATGTGCTTTGAATGTGCCAAAAGCAATATAGTAACACATTGTTTAAGTAAAAATCTCATTCAGAACATAATTCCGTAAATAAAGGGTTAAAGACAAAACTTTTATTCCTAAAATTAACAATCAATAAATATTACAATTTTAAAAAAAAGCAGTTAAAGTGCCAGGATTATTTTTTAGGTTAATCCTGAAAATCAATCAACAATTATTTCAATACTTGTATAAATATTTGAATCATATTATGTTGAATACTCAATGCAGGTAAACCACAATACAAAACAACTGCTAATGTTTTAGCACTTCCGACATTGAGTAAAATAAAGCCAACTGTAAAAGGAAATATTTTCCTAACCTCAACGTCATGTTATATAATTGTATGATGTGCATAAATACTAAAAAAATGTCACTCTGTTACATACTTTTGGCCTCTACTACTATGAAAATATGGAACCAGGCTCAGGGTATGTGCATTTTCTCTATGAAGTGGGAATATTCTAGAACACTTTTTCTTCCATTATTTTTGTATGCAAAAATATGATATTAAAAGGACCAGCAGAAAAATTCAGACAGAAAATTCAAATTCTGAAAAGTTTGGAAATCTGCACAAAATTTGGAAAAGTCACATCCCTAACCACTAGAATTAGCAAATTTTGTGGGTTTTTTACTCTCAGTTTTGATAGAATTTTACTAGTAATCCTTAATCTGAGCGAGAGATAAATTTCAAACAAGACTGAAAACACGCAATCCAACTCATTCTATAAATTTTATTTACATCAAGATCCATGCCTGACTACAAGACAAGGTTAAGTAAGTTCAAGAGTTGCTAAAATGGTCGCCTGCTAAAAAGGATAGTTTATATTAAATTTTAAACAGATTTGATTCTCTATTTACCAAGTATTTGATCCAGTATGTGCTAATAAAGCTAAACTAGTGGCTGAATAAATGAAATCACGCCAATGTTAATTAATTCTTAATTTTCTCAGTAGTGGATATTGAACACTCATCGCACACACCAATGGCATAACAAGCAATTAGCTGTAAAAATACTCTGAGGTTGTGATAAAAAAAAAATTTCTAGAATGCCAAAAACTTTTAAGTCTTAATGGCCTTGATTTTTCTTTTTTACATGCAAACCCAGAAATTTTAAAACTCAACTGCAAATCCGGAAAGTGAAAAAAAAATGTTATTCTCAAATCCGGAATCCAGGATATCCAAGAAAAGTGACACCTAAGGGTGATGTGGAGGTAGTTTCATAAACACTGAATGAAAAAGGTTAATTTTACACAAAGACATACCCTCGAGATATACTGTCAAGGAAATCTTTATTTTCTGGATCATTATAATCTCGGAGTGGACCATCATCAATGCTGAATCCATCTTTCCAAAATTTTAATTTTTTACCAACCTAAACAAATAAACAAATTAATTACAACCAACATAATCAGGGATGTGACCAGACCAGGAAAAAAAATTAGGAAATTTTCTTCGGACAAGAACTCTGTTTTATCCATTTTTTAAATCTCAGTTAAAGCACCCTCACGCCATTACTGTTCTAATTAATCGTTTAATATAGCTAATATTATAAATAAAAGAAGTTTATGTTACTCTACAATGACATTGAAAGTCTTGTCTAATTGCAATTTAATGTTTAACTTATAAACAACTTTTTAAAAAAAAATTACATTTACAATGTAATAAAAGTGGCAATTAAGTTTAACATTAAGCTAATTTAAAGTGTACTAATCTAGTCTAGTTACACTTTTGTTTTCAATTTTAAATTATGCCTTATATTCTTTTAAAGATTGGCATGGTAAAAATGTCAGTCTTCAACTGTAAAATGCCTAGATTCAGATTAATTGAAATTTGAAAGTTTTTGGTTCCTGTGATGGAAAATGAAATTGACCAGATTAGCTGAAATTAGAAAGGGTCTGATATGTGAACCAAAGTTAACAATTTCGATAGACAAACCACATCGTTATTTTTGTTTTTGGAATGGCTGTAAATTGTTTGAAGTCATCCATAAATGACGTTTTTTTTTTACGATTTTTACCTCTCCTCTCCATCACAAAAGACAGACCCCCCCCCCCCCCGACCCTCAAAAATGACGTCACACCTCAACCAACAACCGCTCCCCCTCCTCAAAATTGCATTTGAATTTATTTATTTATTTTTTTTTTTTTCTAAAATATTGACTGAGCTCGACCAACGTAGGGTATTTTAATTAATTTATATTACAATTTTTAAAAAGTTTTCTAAAACGCGTAATAGCGGCTAAAATTCAGTTTCTAACATTACTTTTTTAAAATAAAAAAATATGACGTCACTCTATCTGACCCCCTCCCCCTCATTACACGTCACAAAATTACAGATCCCCCCCCCCCCCGAGTGTGACGTTATTTATGGAAGACCCCTTATTAAAAACAGTCCATATCGTACTTTTTCTTCGGAGTCACGTTGAGTTCGTTTTTTTTTTTTAAATCTATAGGCATATAGCATAGGTATTGCAGGAACAGCTATTTGAAACTACTGTGACGTCATTTTAATTTTTTTCCCCACAAGTAGTATCAAACACGTACTTGGGGGTCAAGGTGAGGTCACAAGAGCCACGGCTGCTACAAGGGGGGGGGGGGGGGGGTAAGTCTAGTCCTCATTGTCACATTTTGCAAGGATTTTAATATACATTTTAGATAGCTAAATAAAATAAGAGAGAAACTGTAGATTTGGGTGAACAAAAATACAGAAAGGTAAATTAGGCTATATCGATAGCTAGATTACCAGGCTTGGGAGATGCGAGTTTCATTTGAAGAAAGGCATTATTTTAGATTACTTTTCCCGTGTTTTTTATAAATATTCAACTGATATCAGCAGAAAATTTGGACCAAAAAATTGCGTTCTGAAAAATACTGAAATCCGCAGAAATTCTGAATCTTGACCTAGATCTATGTTTCATCTTAATCTAGCACCGTCAGACCTAGCGCAATCGTCTAATTAAAAAGAAATGTGCATACTTGACCTAAGTACTGTAATTCTCAATTTAAATACGAAAATATGGAATGCGCTAGTCGGCCGTTTCCGTAGATGTCATTTTCGATTTTTTTTCCTAATTTTTAAAACTTCGGCAAAAATTGAAGATCGTCGGAAAAATTCGGCAAAAATGAAATCAGCGGAGGAAAATTGCAGCTGAAACGGAAAAATCGGATTTCCGCTAAAATTCGGAAAAGTCACATCCCTGCATAATTATTGCGAAGTTGTCAAGTAATAAAATCACTCATTGCAACTGAGAGTAAACACCTGTGCTCGTGATCTGGATGGATGTGAAGCCCCTGCTACAACAGTTGTATCATCTTGTGTCTCACCAAGTCGATAACCTGCGCCAATAAATGTGGCCCTTCCTCCTTGTCGCATTTGGCTATCTTCTTTTTTTTCTTCAGCACCATGTCTGTATGAGAATTAAGATATGAAAATACTTAAATTTCCTTTATCAAAGCTAAAAAGAAATAATGAAACCATAGAAAAGCTGGGGGGGGGGGGGGGGGGAGAGAGAGGAAATGCTATGGAGAAGTGAGAAAGGGCAGCGATCGAAAATGTTATCAATTAATTTACAGTATTTCATTTAAAACACGTTTTTTTTTTATAACTAGGCTCTAAAAATCTAGTACTAAACTTAAATAATCAAAGTGAAAATAAGATATTTAAATAACAACTCAGGTAGATGTAGTCATCACAGCCAGCGCAACGAGTAAGAAACAGGTAAGAGGTGGTTTGTGTTGTGGAGACAAGGGTAGCAATCAGTCAGTCAACTAAGAGAATTTTTCTGTCTAAAGCCCCCTCCCCCCCCCCCCCCCCCCCCCACTCACCCTACAATAAAAAATAGTTTTTAATGATAGCCTGCAACCTCTGATTAACTTGATAAAAAATAATGGGTAATGTAGGATAGTAGACCTACACACAATCACACTTTACTCTGTCACAATAAGTTGACACACTGTGGAATAACATCATACACACCCTCCCCCAAATGATGTAGTAACTAAGTAAACGTCATCACAAAGTGTACACCAGTGTGATCCTGCTCGCATATCAATACTTCCCATGTTAGTCTTCATTAAAATTTTATATATATATATATATATATATATATATATATATATATATATATATATATATATATATATATATATATATATATATATATATATATGCCCTATATTAAGGCTTATACATAACTTACCAAAAAAAAAAAACACCAGCAAAAAAATATAAATTACTCTTTCTCTACTAAGATAAAATCAGCCATAAAACCTCTCAACAACTCAAACAATTTGGGTAAAACTTGCTTTAGTGGGCTACTTTGAATTTTGAGTCATTTTCAACACACGGAATAATAGTATTTTAATTTTATTTCCAGGTTCAATAAATTGAGTGCATTTCAGTTAAATGGATGAATTTCATATCTAATATAAATATTTTAATTTATTTGAAGTGAGGGCTCATCCTTAAATGAAACATTTAAAACATTGATTTCTTTCTAAAATATCTAAGAGCTCTGTCAACATTTTATGTATAAATCAATTTCTATAACAGTTTACAAAACCAGTATTTTAAAAACGCAAAAAAAAAAAAAAAGGTTAAAATCCTCTTTCTAAAATCACTTTCTTGAAATGCTCACGTGAGTCATCCCTGTCCTCTTTCACAAAATTACACCCTTTCCCCCCCTCCTCCCCAATGTTTTAGTATTAGATCCTATAAGTATGTTTTTATCAACTTCTAAGCTATTTCCAATAACAAAAAAGTGGCACTTTATTTCCTATTTCTCACAAACCTTCAGATTCTGATAATTTTTATCATGGTATCATATAGCATGATATTTTAAGAAAATTTTGCATTTTATTTTAAACATTTTCTTAACAATACATTTTCATAGGTTCTGTTGTTTCAGAAAGAGCTACAATTTCTATAGTAAGTGGAATACCAATTCTTACTATTACATTCATTTAACAATCCATATTATATTTTAAAAACATTTAAATTTTAAGAGTTAAAACATGTACTCAGCTTTATTAAAAGCAAGGAAATAGTCCAGTCAAAAATTAAAGCTATTTATGAGAAGTTACTTACTCTCTGGCTGATTTGAAGAGAGATTCCACAAGCCTATTTGAATCTTTTTTTTTTGGAGGGCCCAAAACTTGCTGTCCACTGAGGGTAAAATTAAGTATGTTTATATAAAAATGCAAATAGAAGTATTCACCTAAACCTCTTGTGGTAGCACATGCAGCCTTTAACTTTAAATGTTCTAAATTTCTATGATAAAAGGTATATTATTAAAAGCTGGTAAATTAAAAAGTATATTTCAATTCTGTCTAGTTGATCAACTATACAAAACTACCATTAGCATTTTTAGAAAGCTCATTCTTTTTATCAGCTATTGTTTAGTTCATAATGTCTTTCTGATAGTAGTCGCAAAGTTATAATATCTATATTTAAAAAAATATTTCTTCAACAGTAAAGAGTTTGAAAGTATTTTTTACTTTTTGGTACATGTGATGGAATAAGATGAATGAGAATTAGTGACATTTAAGAGTGTTTGTATTGTTTTGGAAATTTTGATAGTTTTATTTATGCTTTTAAAAAATTGCAGGTGTTGTTTTTCTTTTCTAAACAAGATTTGGAAGAGGGGGTCACAGAGTTAACATCAGTTGAGAAATCAGTAGAAATAAAAAATGGCTCAAGATTTAGTTTAGAAAACCAACCCATCACAATCTCCATTCTAATCGCTCTAGGTGGATCATGCTCCATCAAACTTAACTTCACAAAAGTATTTCTTTAGATTAATTGTTTATTCCTTGGAAATATATTTCTTATTAAAACTGTTGCTACATTCAACAAATGCTTTTTCATTTCCTTTTTCAGTTTTGTTGGATGTACTAAACCCGTCCCTCTTCACTTAGTAAAAGAATCTGTTTTTTTTTCTTATGGCTTTTGCCTTATTGTCAAATTTATATTTAAACTGGGCCTTTCATTGCAAACGTCTTGTTTACTGGAAGTTTCTTATAAAAGTATTCAATTTAAAAAAAATAATTGAAAGTCATTCCTTCATTCAGTGACAAAAATTTAACAATTTAAAAAAAAAAATTAATTTGAGGACTTGGGATAAAATAGGTAACAGTTAATACTTTAATTTAGCTAGTATTTTAAATAAAAGAAGTTTCTGTTACCCTAATGTAACAATGGAAGTCTTGTCTAATTGCAATTAAACTTTCCTTAGAAACATTTTTTTTAAAAATCTAAACATTTTTTTCAATTGAATAAAACACAGAAATGAAATTTAATTTTAATATTAAGCTCTGTAATCACTAGATGTACTTGCTTTCAATTTTAAATTAAGCCTTATATTCTTAAAGATAGATAAGGTAAAATAATTTAAGTCTTCAATAGAGACCCTAGATCTAGACTAATGTAATTTGAAAGTTTTAGCTCATTTGATGGAAAATGAAATTAAACAAATTAACTGAAATTAGAAAGGGAGTTATATTTATTTTTAAAGTTTTGGAAAGAGTAATTGTAAAAACATTTGAACCAAAATTAACCATTTTGATAAAAGTCAAGCCACATTGTACTTTATGTTTTTAGTATAGCCCTAGACTTACTGAAAATTGCTTTATTTAGAGATTTTTGTAATTTAAAAAACAGTATATGGGATCATCTAATTCAATACAAATAAAAACAATGCCAGACATTTTAATGATATGCCGCGGGTCGGCTAGTATATATATAGTTTATCACTTAACTACAGAAATACTGTTGTTTTATTTTCTACTTTTTAGTAATTCATATTTTGTGAATTCGACAGTACCAATGCAACCACTGAATATATTTGCTTCAAAACACTATCAGTATCTCATTAAGGACGATAATCCCCTTCCTTTCCCCAACCCCTACCCCACTCCCCCCCCCCCCGTGAAAGTAAACTCCTCTTAGTTATCTCCCCTAAGTTTAAAATCATTTCAAAAATAAATTATCTGCCCCTAATAGCCGTCACTAAACCTGGCTTTAAGATTGTAAACATTTAGCGTGAACCACAGCTCACCAGACCATGTAGGGGTGGGGTGGTAGGGAGCGCGCTTACAGCTTGGTGTTTTCTAGCGTCTCTAAGAAGAGAATTATATATATAGATATAAAATTCTCTCTGTCACCCAACCATGTGGGACGCACCCCAACTCTCTAACTCTACTCCCGCCCCCTCCCTTGCTCTCCAGGCATGTGCAACAGACCATATCACTATCACCCCCACCAGTTTGGTGAGCTGTGGTTCACACAGAATGTTTAAAATTGTTGAGCCGGGACGAATTAGTGACGTCTCTTAAGGGCAGATAATTTTATTTTTTAAACGATTTGAAACTAAGGGGATGTAACAAGTTCTGTTTGATCTTCTCATTGCCGTCTGTAAACTGTCGTCACGGACGACACCGGGAAGGGAATGGGAGGATAATCGTCCTTCATGAGCTACTGATAGTGCTTTAAAGCAAAATATTTTCAGTCGCAACATTGGTAGTGTCGAATTCACAAATAATTAATTACTGAAAAGTAGAAAATAAAACAAATATTAAGAAAAACCTCTACGTCGCCCACCACACATGCACACTGACTCTCTAAACCCCCTCCTGCCCCCTCCCTTGCTTTCGAGGCATACCCAGCAGTGTGTACCCACCCACCCCATTTGGACAACTGTGTCTTTTACGAAGTCTTCACCCGGATCGGCTCATTAGAGATAAAACCTTTCAAAGATATTTTTTTATCCACAAACTTGGTATTGTGAGTTCTTTACATAACAGCATTGAAAAAAAGATTTAGAAAAGTTTTTAACATCTATTTGAGGTACCTTATATACAAGTTAACTTGATCAAAGTTATTTAAAAATGGAATTTTGTTACCTTGTATCCGATCCACCAGCATAGTAGGCTTGGCCTTCTTCTTCAGAGGAGTCTGATTCAACGTGCATTGAGCTAATTGTTTTTATTCTTTAAAAAAAGAATGTTAATAAAAATTAAGGATATAAGTATTATTCCTGTTTCCAGTGGGGATGTAGTGGGATGAAAAAATGCATTTGTTTTTCTTAATACAAATAAAAGCAAAAATGACCATAGTATTTCAATTAGTTAGATATATGGTTATTTAAGGGGGAAAGAAGCTTTGTCATTCTTGGACCCTATGAATACTAAAAGCATCATTTTCACTGGAAATAAAATTAATAACCTTTGGTTACTGTCTGTTGTCACAGATGCACTTGGTTGATTGTTTCTTGTATCTGTAGGCAATGAAACATCTGCAACTGCAGGAAAATCTCTTTCATTCACATTTTCATTATCAGTACCTTCAAAAAAACTGCTCATAGCCAACTGTAAAATAATAAAATTGCAACTAAATTAGGAAATAGAAACAGTACGTTTTAAATAAAGAATAGAACTACAGGAAACAAAAAATCGATCTATCCACAATTTTAAAAGGTTTGTATTAAAAATAAAAGAAAGCGCCAAACAAAGTATGATTTAAAGTAATTCCAGTGGATTCAGGAATGATGTGACAGTATGCCATTTTTTTTACTTTCTCATATATACAGAGTATAGAGAAAGTTTTGTAATCGTGCAAAAAAAAATCTCGACGTTTTACACCTCCCTGAGTCGGAAAAACATAATTTTGCAATCTTGTCCGTGTGTCTCTGTGTGTGTTTGTAAACACGATAACTTGAGTACAGTTATAGCTAGGTTGATGAAATTTCATATATAAGTATTATATCAAAATCGTAGATCCGTATCAACTTTTGAGCGAGTTCCGATAACCGGAAGTGGTACTTTTTCTACTTTCAATTTTTCAAAAGCCTATAACTTGAGTATTATTTTAGATAGATAAATGAAATTTCACACATAAGTAAAAGATATATTTCTCTGCCTTCTATCAAATTTTGACCGCAACAAGTAATTTTGGCTATTTCCGATTTCTCAAAAAACGCATGTGGATTTATAAAGTACTAATAATATCCAGCACTATTATGCACATTTTGTTTGGCGTTCACTTAGTGTGCAATTCTTTTTTCTACGAGATTCTAATCTATAATAAAAAGTTTAAATAATTAAAAATGGATTACAAATATTGTCTATATCCCGAGTTGCCATCACCCGTAGTTTTATATAAGAATACGAGCCGACCCGCGGCATATCATACGCCGCTTTTAGTTGTTGTTTTTTCTACTTTTCAGTAATTCATAATTTGTGAATTCGACAGTACCAACGCTGCCACTGAAAATATTTCTTTAAAACACTATAAGTATCTCGTTAAGGACGATAACCCCCCTCCCCTCCTTCCCCCTCCGTTACAGTAAACTCCACTTAGTTACTCCCCCCTCCCCTACATTTAAAATCGTTTCAAACTAAATTATCTGCCCCTAATAGTCGTCACTAAACCCGGCTCTGTTTGTAAATATTTAGAGTGAACCACAGCTCACCAGACCATGTAGGGGTGGGGGTGGTAGGGAGCGCGCTTGCAGCTTGTTTTCTAGCGTCTCCCAGAAGAGAATTATATATATAGATTCAAGAAAGTTTAGGGGAGATCACTACCGGTTTATTTTAAACTGTTTTTTTTACGAATATACCATTCCAAAATAATAATTGACGCTATACTGTGGGATTACCAATTTTAGATCTAATCTAGATTTTTATCTAAGTAATACCTGTCTCTAGGCTAGGCTCTACAGTAGAGTGCCTTCAAAGTAGACTACTGTCTAGAGCTGCATCTATACGGAGCGCCACAGCCTCTATTAAGACTGAGTCCTTATAGCCTCGGCTACTATATCAGCCAATAAAATAGTTAAGATTTAGTTAAACAATAATTCTTTTAAGATGCAGAATACAGGGGTGAAACTCATTTTTTAAGCGAATCCTGAAAATCAATCCCATAATTTTACCAATCCTGAAACCAAAATCTGAATTTTTAAAAATCAAAATTGCTAACTATTTATTTACTTTAAGACATTTAGTTCATATTATGCACACTACACAGTCCTTAAGAAATTCCTGCCTTTTTTCAGACATTTTCCAGACTTTTTTGGAAAAATTCCAGATTTTATAACAGATGTTTTAGCGACTAATTTATAAAATGATGCAACATTTGTACTCTCAATTACTTACATTATAATGACCTTTATTTTAGGCAATTGAACTTTCTCTAGCCAAATTGGCAGAAAATAACTTTGAGGCTGCCCCAAACTTTAAAATCCTAAGCACCACCCTGTTAGGTCAGAATCCCACAAACACCTATTCACTAGATAATTACAGGGTACACAGTAGGGATGGACAGTAGGTGACACGTTCAAAGGAGACTGACTGCTCTGACAGGACAATAGTAGTCTTTATACTGACCAGTAGCCAGGGTTGTTAGCGCCAGGGGGGATAATTTGTTAGGTCACATGTTCTGAGCTCATTGTCCCGTGGGAACAGCTAGGGGGTTAAGACAGGGGTATAAATACAGGCAGGTTAGTTAGTCTCTCTCTCTCTCTCGCACAGGCATTCAGCAATTTAATAAACAGCAGAAACTAAGAAGGTCTCCTGTTCCGTTGATTACTTCACTGTAGCTGACTCGGGTAGATTAATTAAATACCCCTAGACAACGACGGCCTTATTGGCTAGTGCCCGAGCCAGTGTCAGCAACGTATTCGGCCGGCGACTAAGCAACCGGACGGCAACATCGTAGTCCTGGTCTGCAACACACCCTACTACTACTAAAGTAAAAGTTCAAAAGATAAGAGGCCTATACACTATACTACACTTTTTTTTAACTTTACAGTAGTATACAGTATATTAATATTATTGATGAAGAAAGCGCAAACATTCTATTTTTAGGTATGACATAAAAAAATAGTCATAAATCTAGCCAAATGATTGGAATCTTGCACTGCACACTTTTTCCCGAGCCACGTTTTCACCAAAAATTATAATTAAATGGCATAATTGAGTGGTGATCATTTACACGTAACACATCTCATAAACACAATAAATTATTACCAGCTAATTGTAATGTGTGTAAAATTAATGCTTTCAAGTTTTGTATTCACATAGGCTGGTTTGGTATCGAAGCATTACACCTGACAATTCTTAAATAACAGACTTAAATTTATTCCTCTACCGTGTAGTCAGTGTAGTGAAAGCAAAACTGGTTGCCATTTTAGTAGGCCATGAGATGGTATGAAAACAAACAAACCCAGAAGCTGTGGATTGAACGGCCTACTATAGACTTCTTGGATGATTATAGATACCGATGTCCAATAACGGAATCTTCTTTAAAATAGGGGTGTTGGGTTGTTAGTAGTATTGTAATCTCAACTAATTTTATGGTTAGAAATTAGGGTTAGGCGTATGGTAGGGTTGGGGTTAGGGACAGGGTTAACATTCACATAGGCAGCCATGTGGTGTGTGTTTAGTTAATGGCAGTAGCGTAGCGAGGGGGGGGGGGACATATGTCCCCGAGCGCCGACCTTAGGGGGCGCCAAAATGGGTTGGAAAAATAAATTGAAAGGTTGAGGGGGTGCAAATCGAAAGTTTGAGAGGGGGGGTGCAAATGGAAATCTCGTGGGGGGGGGTTCAAATCAAAAGTTTGAGGGGGGGGGTGCAAGTTTGTCACCGGCCGCCGGGAAGGGTCACTGGTTAACGGTGATAAGAAAGATGAACAACGGAAAAAAGTGCAAAACAAAAAGGGCAACGGAAAAGCACAAACAGAAAAATGAGCAAAACGAAAATTGCATAAAGAGAATTTTTTTTTTAATATATATATATTTATTTGTAGGTGGGTAAGTGGGTGGGTTGGTGGGTAGGTAGGTTGTTAGGTGGGTATGTGGGTAGATGTGTGGGTGGGTAGTTAGGTAGGTGGTTGGGTGTTTGTGTAGATGATATAGATTATGCACATTTCCATTTTGCTAGCTTAGTAACTGTTACAAAACTTGAACTTTCAAACTGGTTTGACGTAAGGTTAGTTAATCAGTTTAACAATGTAGATGATATTGGAGTAGGTCTAAGTTAAAGCCTGATGTTATAATAAAACTTCACCTCTCTTTGATTCTTTATAAAAAGGTTATGGAAGGTCTTTTACTGAAATGTTTACCGGACGAATGCAAAACAACCATAGCTCTTCTGTTATATAGGCTACATTCTGCCCATTATGCTGTTCAGTACATGCTTTGGTTGGTGGTAGGATTGTTATATATAAGTATTAGCATAGATTTAGAGTAGCGTCACTTTTGTTTACATGTTTTCATTACCCTTCAAACTATAGTCTATTTTAGTTATATTGAGATTAAAGAATGTAAATAAATAATACACACAATTCTGTAGAATACGAACGATTGGGAGGGAAGTGACATATAGCGCAGGAAATTTAGAGGTTAGGTAAGGTATAAATGGTGGGGTTAGGAAAGTTAGGGGGTCGATTCTCTAATAGGCAGTCTAGGTCTCGTTTGTACTTTCAAACAATAAAGAAGTTAATTATATACAGACTTCGTGTTGGTTTATTGTCAACCCTGTCCTCACCTCACATCACAACAGTTGGGTGACGCTTACATTGTCATGTTAAAATAAATAGCATGTAATTGAGTTAGTTTGAAGTGAGTTTTCATACAAGCCCAACGCACTAATTAAAGCTGTCGCAAAAGATGTAACATATGTCAATGAATTTTCATTAAAAAAAAAGATGTCTAGTGCAGTTTATGAAACTAACGATAGTTGCCGATACTTTTTAGGTAGGTAGGTAGGTAGGTATGTAGGTAGGTAGGTAGGTATATAGATAGGTAGGTAGGTGTGTCATGATTAAATAATATTAAATACATCATTATTTTGGTGCGAATGAATGTTGGTGAGAGAGATATGATGAATGCATGTTTGTTGACACAGATAAAAGAGAGTGAAGTTTTGCAATAGGAACGGGTTGTTATGGTATGCAAGCTAGGAAGTTTGGACTAGGGAGAATGTCGATATCAAGGATAGTTTTATGTTTATTAATACGAGAATAGTAGTTGAATAAATATTGACCAAGAAAATAATTGGCATTGTGTAAAGCGATAATCGCCTTCATCGGGGTGATGTGAATGGTAGTGGTATGCTTTAAATGGTAGTAGATCGCGTGGTCAAACACGACATTCTCACAGCAGCCCTAACAGTCATGTATAAATGTGTCATCTAGTCCATATAGGTCTTTGAGCTAAAATTTCTCTTTGCGCATTTTTCGTTTTGCTCATTTTTCTGTTTGCGCTTTTTTCTGTTGCATTTTTTTCCGTTGCGCATCTTTCTGGGAACCCTAGTTAACTACCAGTAACCTAACACCCCTTTTTTTAAAGATTCCATTATATTATTATCGGACACTGGTATAAAAATTCTCCCTACTTCTTATATAGGCCTACTTAAAGAATAAAGATAGATCTAGGATCTACTAATACTCATGCATGAGTGTACGTCAATATACCAACTCTATAGGATTACAAAGGATACTCACAACTTCTAGATCTATATCTAGAATCTATTTTATTACTCTCACGATGCTCAGAGTCAGAATAATAATAAATAAGAATAGGCCTAAAAACTAAATAAATTAGAATATCAGATGCTGCAATACTTTTGCTGATACACTGGTCTAGTAACTAGTAATAGTACTGTAATAGGCAACAGGCCATACTTTATTACTTAGATCTAGATCTTAATACAAGTACTAGGCCCTTAAGTTTAGTAGTATAGTAGATCTATACATTAGAATTAGAATCTAGATACACTAGATAGTAGTCTAGTAACTAGATCTAGTATTAAGAAAGTATTTCTTATTAAATTTCTAGGCCTAGATCTAGTATGCAATGCAAAGTGGTGAAAGTAAAAGTGTGAAAGTATGCACAACAATAGGCCTAGACCTATTATTTAATAATATTAACTATTTAGGCTAGGCCCCATTTTATTTATTGTTATAGTTATAGTAGGCCCTCGTAATAAATTAATGGCTGATGCTAGCTGGAATAAGATACGCATGCGCAATGGAGAGAAACTACGACTTGCCATCGCAGGGATGTTTTCGATGGTACTGCGCATGCCTGTGTTTACAACCGCAGAACCCAAGTACCGCGTTTACACTTACGACATGTATACTATACATTTCCAGAACACATAGCCCGCCAAAAGTTATTTTTATCTGGAACAATTTTCTCCACAGAACATGTATACTTTAGCGTTCACACTTACAGAACATGTTATAGAACATTTTATAAAATATACATCACCTTTGACCCGGAGCGTCTGCTATATAGGCCCAGATAATTAAAATAAAGAGAAATCAAAGTAAAAAAAAAAAGATGGTGGACACACAGCTTTTTTTTAAAAGGAAAAAGGTGTAGCCACGGTGCTTACGATTCAACAATGAATTATCTAAAAATTAGAGAACATGCAAGATTTTATAAATTTTATGCCAGCTACTGGAGCTAGACAGATGTTATAAATATAATGCTGTATATAATACCACGGGTCGTAGACATTACCCACCTGTTATTACCCCTCCCTCCCATCCCGCAGTAGAATCACCCTTTCCCACTTCAACCCCATTATAGCCATTTCCCCAGCTTCTTTGCTTGTCTATATCCTTCAGAAACAGTTTTGGATGAACAGTGCTAAATATTTGTTTGCTGAAAGTAAAGGCCCGATTTCTCCTAAAACTTCCATCTGCCAAGTTCATTAAACGTATTGAGATCATGTTATCACTATACTGAGTCTATTATTAAGAAAAAAAGTAGATCTAGTTTTTAGAGTAGGGTATATGACATCCCCCCACCCCAATTCGTTTCTTTATGTTAATTATGTCCCATTTTAAACCTTAATAATTAGCCTACGACTTTTTTATCTGCCTGATTTTTATAGTAAGTTGATTATGTGTGATCCCACGAGCACATTCTTGTGGGCCTATGGATTTATTCATGTCAGACGGAAACTGAAAATATGTTGGTCAAGAAAAAATTGGAGATAAATTTGGTTCAATTATATTTTTTAATGAATTAATATTTTCGTAATTAATACCTAAACTGGTTTTAAGGCAAAATTGTAATGCCTTAGACATTACATTATTTCATTAAAACGTGTATGGAAATTAATTAAAGAAATAAAAAGTAATTATAAAAATGTAAATTTTAGCAGGGCCTAGAGAAATTATAAATTATGAAATCATGTGCTCAAAAACTCAAAATCATTAGAATCTACATTTAATTTTGCAATCAGCCGAGACCTATGATGCGATTACTACTTTGGACGCATGCGCACTCATCTGAAAATTCAGAACATGTCCAATGTTTTCGCTCAGCGAGCGATGACAAAAACTTGACCCAGAACATAAAAAGGGGCGTGGTTTTGTGCACTGCGACTCAGAAGATGTTCCATATACCCATAACATGTTTAGTATACACTTTAGTAGGTCAAGTCTAGTATACATGTCATAAGTGTAAACGCGGTGTAACACCAACCCTAATCCTATCCCCCATTCTAGCCCTAATCCTAGCCATAGGTCACTGCGCATGCGCAGAGCTATCTTTTGCCGACTAAGTGGAGACATTGGGGAGAAAAGTCTTCTTCCGAGTAGTCACTTCGTAAATCAATTTATCTAATATAGATCTAGAGTAAAGTTCCACGCGCGGTTAAAACACTGGTGCAGCCATCGCCTGTTTATCGCTTCGTATAATATTTGTTTGGATGTTTTATACGAAACTACCGATATCTGCTGTAAACCTGTCCATTTCTAAATATATCCAGGTCAAATTCTTTTGTTTTTCTCCTTCTGGAAGTCGAGTTTTTAAATTTTAAAGTTTCGAGGTATGACGTCGTAGGCGATTCTAGTTCCCCCGTTGAAAAACACTAGGTCCCAGATGAGATGAATAAAACCAACCAATCAAAGCTTTTTATAACTTGGTTAACTATAAATAGCTTCTACAATATGTGCGGGATAAGGCTAATAAAGCAACCTGAGAGGTGAATAGGGGTGGCCGCAGCTTAGTTGTCGATTAGGGTGGTTTCACATCGCTGCGTAACCAACGACTTGAGCTAGTCTAGCCTAGTTCTAGATGCCCTCTATATTTCAAACTAAGCCCAGAATCTGTATTTCTATTTTTTTCTGTTGTTTTAAATTATTTCAATCATCTACTTCAGGGGTCTCCAAACTACGGCCCGCGGGCCAGATGCGGCCCGCGATGTCCTCTCATCCGGCCCGCGGAGATCTTTTTGTCCACGGAAAAAACGTTTGTTGCTGATGGCTGAGGAACTTTGCCCAGAAAAATCAAAGACATGCCTGGAAGAAACTGGCCCCCGAACTGAAATTTGATAGTTAATGCGGCCCTCGGACTGAAAAGTTTGGAGACCCCTGATCTACTTCTTCTAAATCTAGTTTGTGTCTCTACATACAAGCATATCTATGCTTGTGTTACATTATGTCTTGTTAGTGTTTGTTATGTCCCTTTGTTATGATTATTATAGCTGCGTCCCTTGAGTCATCATCAATTTTAATGTGTCGTTAATTAATTTAATTAACATGTTTTTTATTTGGTTTTGCAATCTATTAATTAATAATACAATAAACAACACGTTTAAAAGTGTAAAATATTTATTTTAGTTATTAACATTGGATTAAAACGTATAAATACGATTGTTCAGGTGGGTGCAGGAAAAAAAAAGGGGGGGGAAAAATATTGCAGGTAGCACGTCACTAAAACATAAATATCTCAAATTCTATGCGTAGGAATATAAAATGATTGATACATATTAAGAGTAGAATGGCAGAGGAATAATATAGTACTTTGGGTTTGTTTCTGTGTTAAACGGTTACAAAATAGCGTCCGCTAAAAGTCGGGAGTTTGCTATGTATTATGTGTTTGTTTTATCATGTATGTGTGATGGCTGTGGAACTTCACTCTAGACTAGATCTAGATCTAGTTAATAGTTAGACTAGATCTCGAGTAGAGATCTTATTAAAAAAATTTGATAACAAGATTCTTAAGAGCCTACCTCTAAATTCCATGCAGATGATTCTAAATAAAACCGTGCTCTACTTTTGTCAACACCAGTTACATTTACGAATTCATCAACTAAACTATCACGATCGGCCATTTTTTTACAGTCGGTATGCGCAGGCAGTTTCCGGATATCGACATGACCAAGAAATGAAAGTGAAAGTAGCATAGACCAAGATGCAGCGTAGGGCCTAACAAATAACATACGTCGCTATTTAGTGACTGAAGACTTCCTGATAGAAATCTAGACACAGTTGTCCAAATAGGGTGGGTTTGGGCAAACTACTGTTAGAGAATGATAGGAAGAAACTCTGGAGAGAGCAACATACAATTGTCCATTAGTGAAAACATGTTTTGGAAGATACAGGCATATCTTTTTGAATGTTTGGCCCTGTGCTGTATTAATTGTCATGGCAAAGGCTAATCTAACAGGGAATTGTCTGCGCGTAAAGGTGAAAGGCAAATTTGAATCTGATGGAGTCAGGGATATCAGGGAAATAAGGACAGTTTGTGCGGTAGCAGCTGCAATAGTTTTACACTCCAGTACGTTGCGGTGAATGCTGGTAACAGTCAGTCTAGTGCTGTAATATAGTGAGACTTGTGAAGTCAAGGGAACTCACTCTTCTGTATTAGTATTATATTTATATTGTTATCTTGAGTGATGTCCCTTACATGTTATGTATATAAGTGTCTCGTGACTTCCGCCCTCTCTCTCTCTCTTTCCTCATGGTGTGAATAAACTACTGTTAACAATCAACGCGGCTTCTCGTCAGTGATTCCAATCCATCACATTGGCGACGAGGATAAATAATCCACTAGAAAGAGCACCTACTTACGCAAAAAAGAGGTTTGCTAGAGCATATTGGCTAAGTATTTCTAGGATAATGGCGCTGTATGGCCAAATAAAAGAATTTGATTCGAATGATGAAATCATTCATGATTACCTAGATAGGTTAAGCTTTTACCTTGAAGCAAACAACGTGACGATAGAAGCCAAAAGGAGAGCTGTTTTGTTAACAGTCATAGGGCCTCAACAATTTAGGCTACTAAAGGACTTATGCGCACCAGCTAGTCTAACTACCAAGAGCTTTAACGAGCTGAGCAAACTGCTAACAGACCACCATGCGCCTGTACCATCAAAGTTTCTATGTCGAGCTAGATTTGACGGTAGGACTCGTCAACCAAACGAGTCAATATCAGAATATGTTGCTGCTTTACGTCATTTAAGTGAATTTTGTGAATTCGGCGATACGCTGTCTGACAGACTATGTGAAAAGTTTGTGACAGGTGTAAACAGTCCTGATATTCAAAGAAAGTTGCTGCTCGAGTCAGATCTAACATTAGAAAAAGCAATACAACTAGCAACTTCATTCCAGCAGTCATCAGATGCGGCAAAATCTCTAACGTCTTCAGAGATCCATGCAGTAAACAGCAGGTTAGTCAACAAACACCAACCCCATCAGAGCATTCCAACTTATGCTAAACAGCCTGCACGTTTAAAGCCTAGATCTAAATCTAGTAATAATTATCAAAAATGTCATCGATGCAAAGGTCCCCATGCATCTCATCGGTGCAAGTTCAAGTCTGCAACTTGTTATAAGTGCAGTGAGCAAGGTCACATTGCCAAGGCCTGCTTTGCAAAGTCTTCGTCTGTTGCTAAATCTAGCCAGTCAAGACAGTACCGCAACCAAAGGCAGCACTATGTTAACTCTCACCAAGACTACCTAACCCAACCAATGAACCACTCTACCAGTGAAAATGCTCAAACTGATTTGCAGCCGGATTTCAACCTGTTCTCTGTGAAATCAATAAGTCATGCTCCCATCAATGTACTAGTTAATATCAACGGTAAGAGCATCAGCTTCCAACTTGACACTGGAGCATCTCTAACAGTCATAACAAAGAAAGACTTTGACGCTGTCACAGGAGGATCAGTGCCTCTACAACCATGTCACAAGTGTCTAACAACATACACTGGTGACAATGTTCCGGTAATAGGAGAGTGTATGGTTCATGTAAGTTATAATGGTCAAAGTGTTAAACTTCCTCTTCTTGTGGTTGAAGGAAATGGACCACCATTACTAGGTAGGAACTGGTTAAGTGATCTTAAGTTAAATTGGGAGAGTATATGTTCATTGAACAATGCAAGAGAATCTAGTCTTACTTCAATAGATAAAGTAATATCTGAAAATAAAAGTGTTTTTGGCAATTCAGGTTTACTAAATGATAGAACAGTGAAGATAAGCATTAAAGACACAAATCCAAGATACTGCAAAGCTAGAGTTCCACCTTATGCAATGAGGAATAAAATTGAAAATGAGCTAAGTAGATTGGAATCTAATGGCATCATAAAGAAGGTAGACTATTCCGATTGGGCAACGCCCATTGTGCCAGTGTTAAAGAAGGATGGTTCTGTAAGAATTTGTGGAGACTATAAAGCTACATTGAACAAGCAAATAGAGCTAAATAGGTACCCTATTCTTAACATTGAGGAAATTTCTTTGAATTTGGCAGGAGGAGACAAATTCACTGAATTAGACTTTAGTCATGCTTACACTCAACTAGAACTGCATCCAGATTCAAAAGTCTATACGACAATAAACACTCATAAAGGACTCTACCAATATGAAAGACTATGTTTTGGCATATCATCCAGCCCTGGAATTTTCCAGGCTGTCATGGACAGTATTTTTAAGGACATTCCAAATGTTTGTGTGTACTTTGACAATGTGTACATAACTGGTAAGAATGACACTGAACATCTTAAAACACTAGATAAAGTCTTGAAAATAGTTGGTGAAAAAGGTTTAAAGATAAACAAAGATAAATGTCAATTCATGCTGACAGAAATTAGTTTTCTTGGTTATATATTAAGCAAGCAAGGCATCAGACATCAACCTGAGAAAACAAAAGCCATTAAAGAAGCACCCAAACCTGAAAATACCCAACAACTAAGAGCTTTTTTGGGCTTGATAAATTACTATGCAAAGTTCATAGGGAATCTGTCTGGTAAACTATCACCACTGTACAAGCTGCTACAGAAAAATGCAACTTGGCACTGGGGTAAACAACAAGATACTGCTTTTAATACAGCAAAAGAGGCTTTGGCTTCTGACACCTTACTAACTCACTATGACCCAGGGAAAAGACTTATATTAACATGTGATGCTTCACCAGATGGTGCAGGAGCAGTCTTGTCCCACATGGATGAGAAGGGTGACAGACCCATTGCTTTTGCCAGTAGATCTTTGAACCAGGCTGAGAAAAATTATTCTCAGTTAGATAGGGAAGGCTTAGGCATCATTTTTGGTGTTAAGAAATTTCATAAGTTTCTGTTTGGTAGGAAGTTCACCATCTTTACAGATCATAAACCATTGCTAGGTTTATTTGGAGAAAACAAAACCCTACCTGAGCATGCCTCACCAAGAATTCAAAGATGGGCTATCACACTAACTGCATAAATTATGAATTGAAATACAAACCTGGATCTGAGAATAGTGCAGATAGTCTTAGTAGATTACCTTTAAAAAACCAAAGCCTTAGCTATGTACCAGAAGATGTATTTGTTCTCTTCACTATCATGGATAACTCCAATATAAATGTGAATGATATTAAAAGAGAAACACAAAAAGATGAGTGCTTAATAAAAGTATATGAGTACTGTAAGAATGGTTGGCCTGAAGAGTCTGTGAATGATGACTTAAGGCCATATTAAATAAGAAATAAAACCCTTTGTGAAGATAATATAAAAGATGGAGAAGATGCAGTCCATTATCAGTCAGAGTTGCCTAAACAAAGTATTTGTAACTTAATAAATGATTATGGTGATATGGCAATTTCAAATGCTTTAAGTAAGAAGGAATGTGATCATCAAACAACCTTGCTAACATCATTAGCACTTACAGAAACTAAAAGGGTAACATCAAAAGAAAAGAAAAAAGATTTTTGCCATTTAATACACCCATTTCAAATACTGGATCACAGTTGCAAAGTGATATGGTCCAGAATATTACTCATAAACAGTATTTTTGGTTACCAGGAAAGCACTATCAGATTACCTGAGAAAATTGATCAATCAAAGAAATCTATGTCAATTAAGGATCTGAATAATAGCATAATACTTTCAGATGCCAATTCAAAAATAGTTCCATTAAATCATGACAAACATTCATTGAAAGAGAATTTGGTGTTAATGAGAATGTGTATCTAAGAAATTATGGGAGAAAGGAAAAATGGATACCAGGTCAAATTGTTCAATGTACAGGACCTGTGTCTTATAAAGTAAAAACAAATGATGGACTTATTGTCCGTAGACATGCAGACCAGTTAAAAATAACTTGTGCAGATAATAAGTGTGAATCTATCAATCCCACCAAATCTGAACAGTTCACACCAACTCAGTTTGTTCCACAACCAAGTTCTGTTGATATGAGTGAACCAAGTAGTCTGGAGTCAGAAAATGTAAATTCTGGAGTTAATGATTTAAATCCTAGACCTCCTGAGATAGAGAATCCAAATGGTCAGAATATTGAGTCACCAAATCAAAAGCCACTGAGAAGGTCAAACAGGACAATCAAAGTCCCAAATAAGTTAGACCTATGATTTTAAAGGTCAAAAGGACTTTGACATCATTGTTTGTATTTTAATTGTGTTGTAACATATTGTGCATTGTCTGTAAGGATGTAATCTACCATAGTGTTCATGAATCAATATAATTTCTCATTGGTGATTTTAGGATACTGTGAATTGTTCTATTGAGAGATGTGTTGTGTTTACTAAGGGTAAAGGGATGTAATATAGTGAGACTTGTGAAGTCAAGGGAACTCACTCTTCTGTATTAGTATTATATTTATATTGTTATCTTGAGTGATGTCCCTTACATGTTATGTATATAAGTGTCTCATGACTTCCGCCCTCTCTCTCTCTTTTTCCTCATGGTGTGAATAAACTACTGTTAACAATCAACGCGGCTTCTCGTCAGTGATTCCAATCCATCACAAGTGCCATTACATTTACAGAGACCAGTGGCGTAGCTAGGCCGGGTGTCACCGGGTGCGGCATTTAATGGTGTCACCCCCCAGAGGTGTAGCGACCCTTCCCGGGGACAAACTTTTAATTTTCGATTTGCACCTTCCCCCTCAAACTT